GTTGTAATGTGACAAAATATGGAAAAGTTCAAGGGGTATGAATACTTTTGCAAACCACTGTACTTTATGAAAGTTGTGATTTCAACAATCCCTCAAAGATGGTCGCCCCTGGAGCCGCCCTTCTGGCTAGTGAGGGAATAGCCTCTTGTTTTGTCACATGACAATGACCTCACACTACATGATCTCAGTCTTGGCCTTGCCCGCTTGTGAAGACTGATATTTGTCTGAAGACCTCTGACCCTGGACTCACCAGATCAGATCTCCTATTGAACAGTTCTTTACAGCAGTCTCTCTGTGTTCGCATCTCAGCAAGAATTATTTCAGAAACGATTCAGCTTTCTCCAATGAAGTGCTTTGTGTTCATGCAGGTTTACCAACCTCTGCTTGTGACATGAACAGAGCTGGGCTTTTCAAACCTCCAGTGTGAATTCTGCCATGATTTGATCCTCTGTCGTTGGTAGTGTGTTTAAAATGTTGAGGTCGTTGACCCTCAGGCAGGCTTCAGGCTCGACCCTCTGAGAAACATGAAAGCTCAACACAAAAACAGAAAGGAAAAAATATTAGACAACTGTAATGGAACTAATACTTTTATGTTTAAGCTAGTAATTCATGACATCCTTTAATGACCTAGGTTGTCATGATATTCTGTTTATCTGCAGATAGAATTATTAAAGTCAGAACAAGATTTGCTAACAACAGTCCTTCTTAGATATCACTTTATCTTTGTGTTTTCCGTTGACCTTAAAGGGTTCCAAACCCTTACTTGGAGCCCCAGGCCCAGGGGGCCTATCCCCCCCTTTAAGGTAGAAACTAAATAACTACGTGAGCTAGTTTTAAAGCACTAAACAAGCAAAATTATCAATATTATTGTAATATACAATTTCTACTTATCATTTAGGTAATATATTTGACAAAAAATTAGGTTGTCAAAAATGACTCAACGGTCTCCTTTCAATTTTGTAGACCACTCACCCCAGGACYCTTCAGCCATAAATTTAGTGTTTTAACAGCTGAATATAGCAGACTTCATCTATACACAGGCACTGCTTACCTGTCTTTGATGTGAGGCCTCAAACCCGCAGTGTCCGTGGGGGGCAGCCACCCCTGGCCAAATGAGATCCTTCCAGAATCCCGGACGAGCCCCCAAGCTGTTGAAAGTTTATTTATTTATTTAAGATAAACTCTTCACCAGGTCCTTTTGATTCTGGATGGATCAACAGGAGACAACCTTTGAGAAAATTAACACAGAATTTATTAAAGATTACATGTGAAACCCACTGAACAGATTTGCAAATCTCTCATGGCAAGTCTGGAACACACCTGCTGTCGTTCTTGTGTTCACTTTGTTCAACACAATTATCCAGCTGTACAAGAACTTGAAAGACTGAAATCAAGGATGGGTGGGGCTCTAACATATCTGCAGAAAACAAATGTAGTAAGTACTGAGCTGTTGAATGGTATCATGATTTAACCCAACAGTTATGKAGTAAATAAAGATGCAACAGTTTTACAAAGTTGGAATATTTTGTAAATTGTGAATAAAAATGATTTACAAATCTCATAAATCCATCTTGTGCTCACGGTAAAACAGGGAACACATCAAATGTTAAAGGAGGGAAAAAAATGTAACTTTGAATTTTGTAGCAGCAACATGTATCAAAGAAGTTGGGACAGGGGCAACGAGGGGTTTTTGTAAACACAGCTCATCTTGCCATTCACACACTCAAGTTAAAGCTCTATCATGCAAAGGAGGAGCCATCGCAAAAGCTGATTTGAAAAGGACTGAAAATGAAAAACCGTTCTGTGGTCTGATGAATCAAAATTTGAGAATTGTTTTGAGACGCTGCAGTTTTATTTAGAGAGGTGGCCTGTTATCAGTACACAATTCAAAARCCTAACCTCTCTAATGGTATGAGGGTGCATTAATATACCATCAATGCAGAAAATTGTATATCGATTACAGTAACGTGTGCTCCCATACAGACGACTCTTTCAGGGAAGGCTTTGCATATTTCAGCAAGACAGTAATAAGCCACAAGCTGCATCCATTGCAACAGCATGGCTTTGTAGTAGAAMAGTCCAGATGATGATCTGACCTTCCTGTRGTCCAGACCTCTCACCAGTTGACATTTGACACTGCATAAAACAAAGAAATTAGCATAGACACAGGAKTTTTGATATGTTAGGATCTTAAATCAAACAAAAATGGGGTATTTCCCTCAAACCTCCAGCATCAGGTCTCCTCAGTTCTTAAAGGGGATGCTTGACTGTGATAAACAGGAGTTAAAAATCACTACATTCTGTTTTTATTCACATTTTACACATCTTTAATTTTCAGAATAAAGGTTGCAATTTTATGTTTTTAAATTTAGAAATTTTGCTTTGTTTGTTCTCTGCAAATTTCTGATTATTTGTTCCCTTTTTTAAAATTTATTCCAGACTAAATTACTGAACCGAGAACAAACGGATGAGTGGAAAGGCTGGATGCAGCTCGTCATCCTCATCTATCACATCTCTGGAGCCAGTGCTGTGCGTCCTCATCTTCCTATCATATTTGTTTGCAGATGTGCTCAAATCTAACAATGTCTTTTCTTGTAGTTCATTCCCGTCTACATGCATGTGCGGGTGCTGGTCGCAGCGTACCTCTTTCAGACRGGCTATGGACACTTTTCTTTTTTCTGGCTCAAAGGAGACTTTGGACTTTATAGAGTTTGRCAGGTAGTGATTATGCTTAGTTATACTTTAACTTTCTTTCGCAACACACTACTGTTTGTGCTGCTGAGTTACAAAGCAAATTAAAGACSCATCAGCAAGATTTATTATCAGTGGATAAGCTGTGGTTTATTACAGTTACATTTTTATCCATAGGTGCTGTTCCGCCTGAACTTCCTGGTTGTGGTACTTTGTGTCGTAATGGACAGACCCTACCAGTTTTATTACTTTGTCCCTTTGGTGACTTTCTGGTTTGTCATCATCTACGCCACAATGGCCATGTGGCCTCAGATCCTTCAGAAGAGGACCAACAGTAGGTGTCAAAGCATGTGAAACTGTACAGGGCAGATAAATTCAATATGATACGGTTGAGTTAATATGTGTCATGTTTCCTGGACAGGCAGTGGAATGTGGCATCTTGGGGTTCTGATGAAGTTACTAAGCCTCCTGTTGTTCATCTGCTCTTTTGCCTTTTCACAGGTGGGTGTTTTTCACACAACTGCATTTAAATGTGTCTAAACTTAGTTTGATTTCGGACTCTTAAAACCGCACGTGTAGTATAGCATCTGGTCCAAGATTACCCACTGAAGTCTGCTTTAAAGAGGTTTTTGGTTTAAGTTTGTCTGGCTCTCATGTGAAGTTCGTTTTATTTTCTGGAACCCAGAGTTTTTTCGAGAACACCTTCTCCGTGTGGCCCACCTCYATGCTCTTCGAGCTAAACGGAAGCGTCCACGAGTGGTGGTTCAGATGGAAGCTGGACCGATTTGTAAGTCAAATGTTTTTTTTACTTTACGTTTAGTAYAACTTGAAGCTATGTTTGCATGGACATAAGTAATGGAATAAACAGCCAATTTTGTGTCATCTAAACGCCCCAGTTGGAATATTCTGATCTGATTCAGCTCMATCGGAATAAATTTGTAATCCGATTTAGGGGGTGGTTTATGCCGATTGATAATCCAAACGGTCCATGTAAACACTTAATCTGATCATGCTATACTGGTTGAACTGACTGCACATGATTTCAGACTTTCATGCACTGGTTTCTGGTCTTTTGTGGAGGAAGGGGCAGCAGCGTTATAGTTGKTGGCTGCACAGAGCTTTCAAGGATGTTTATAGTTCCTGCCGCTCTCTCATCCGGTAAAGATGGAAGACAAAAAGCATACATTGCTTCACCTAAAAAAAACATACGTTGCCTCTAGCTCAATTAGGGAGTGCAGTAACGTCTGCAATGGTATTAAAACCTGGCATGGGTCCAATCTGGGTGTTCAAAGACAATTATGTTCATCACAGAAGTGGAACTTCTGTGTTTTCTGTGATTTTGTCAATTCTCTTAGTCAAAATTGAGATAATCACTAATGACAATAATAAAAAAACGTGTCTAATCATTGCAGACAAAGAC